GAACCGGAGGAAGGAAGCCGCCCACAGGGCTCCATCCCGCTGTCTTCCCCTCTTCCTGGGGAGCCTGCTCGCTGCAACCTGAGCCCTCGCTGGCCGGCTTGGGCTGCGTCTCTCCAGCTCCAGGCCCCGATCAGGTTCCCATTCCTGGATCGCCCACACTCCCCTGGTGACGAATTCCCGCATTACCTGAGGGATTTGCACATCGGGCATGTTCCTCGTGGGCCGGAATGTCCTGGGAGAGTGTGCAGGGTGACGGCAGGGAGAAACCTGTCTGCCACGTACCGCCATGCATGGGGGCGTCAAGGGACAGGATTGGCCTTTGGCCTTAGCTTTTGTCCTTTCTCGGAGAAGGACCCAGACAGGGCAAGACTTGTAGACAATGGCTGCCAGCTCCAAGTATCCTAGCCAGAGCCAGTGGCGGACAGACACACAGGACGTGAGGTGAGACGGACCCAGGCGGGAAGGGCAACTGGACACAGGGGCCACCCAAGGTCCTGCCTGGGTCCCGCATTTCTTCCAAAGCCCCATGGTTAGAGCAGCCTTGTCCACAGTGTCCGGCAGAGCGTCAGTCCTGGCAGAAGGATCTTTGTGGCCCTACCCCCGCCTCTCCATTAGCCACAAAGTGGACTGGGTTAGGACATCAGGAAAAGAACCTGTTTGGCTGTGCTGAACTCAGAGAAGTTCTCCTTATAATCCCGAGCTAATAACTTCTTGTGGAATTCCTATGTGGCGAGACATGGTCTGGCAAACACTAGGACAGGGAAAGACACCGAATCGAAAGCCGGGAAATAGCTTTCTCAGCCTGATTCATGCCTTCAGCTGGAGCTTGGCCTCTGCAGCTCCCGCTGGGAAGGTTCTTGGCCATTTGACACTCAGCAGTGGACCTTACGATGTTGTGCTGCTAGTGATGAGTCAGGGACCTTGGCGAGGGGCGTGAGTGGCCCCACTCTCCCCAGCCCTGCCACTGGCATGAAACAGTCCTGAGTCCCCCTAGTCCTCAGAAACCTGTTTATTCCATAGTGTGGCTCAATGATAGATATGTCAACCCTACTTATGCCACCTTGTCTCTGGGGCAGAGGAGAGCTGTCACTCCCACGTCCACCATTTGCATAGGTGGAGCATTTTGGGGCCAGGTATTTAGAAATCTGAATGTTCCCCTTAAGCCCCACTCATCCCCTCTTTACCACGTGCAGCCCCAGCTTGCATATAAGCTGAGGAGGGAGCCCCTCGAAAGGCATAACCAGAGGGCTCGAGCTGGGCCCGCAGGCCTCCTGGGCCACTATTCAAGGTTCTTTTGGCTCCCGTGGAAGGCAGCCTGGATGTGCTAACGTGAGGCTGCCCCTGAGCTCCTTGCAGACCCACTGCTTATAAGGCCCAGAGGAAGCCAACACCACATGTCTAATTGGGCCTCCTCAGGCCCTGCTCTCCTCTCTGCAGCTCACGAAGTAGCAGGTTAGAGTAGGCTTTCTGGGCAGCATGATTCATGGCCGCACACCACCCCAGACTCACGAGGTGCAAGAAGGGAGAGCTCATCAACCCCCACAGAGATGTCTTTTTTCACCTGCTTTCATTTTCTGAAAAACCTGATTCGTACCCCTTTGCTGGCAGACAGTCCTAGACCCAGCCCCCAGAGCCTTTCCCTCCCTTTTCTCCCTCTGGGGTTCACACTCAGCTTCATCTCTCCAGGTCCACGGCCACTGGATCCCCAGGCAGCCCCTGGTTCAATTTGGTGGCCTCTGAGATGCCCCTCGTGTGGCCAGGTTTGGCTGCTGCCTCCACATTCATGTTCTGAGACCCAGCTTAGTGATGCTGGCTACAAAGAGGCCAGGGTGTGAAGCATCCTCGGAACACAGCTCCCAGCAGCTGTCCTTGGACGTTGCTTTCCTCAACCAGCCACTTCTGCCGCCGGAGCTTCTGCAGTGGGAACTGGCAGCATGAGACGTGAGGGGCAGGCTCTGATTTAGTGGACACTCTTGGCAGAAATGTGAGGACTGCCTGCCAAGTTGGGGTGCGGCCCCCATAGAAAGGGAAATGGGGCCAGGGAAGGTCAAAGGACCTTTCACCCTTCCCAGTCAGATTCAGCATTGTCATCTCAAGGAACCCAACGGCATTGTCCTCATGAGCTGTGGTGATGTCAAAGACCCTGGAGTCTCAGTCGACCCTTGTCACAAATCCCACAGTTCAAAAAAGGTCTTCAATTTTTACATCTGAACTGAGTCTTTTTGCCTTAGATGTGGTCTTTTTCTTAGTAGTATTTTTATAAGTAAAATTCCACTTATCAGGCAGGCGTTTCTTAAATGTCTGTCATATGTCAAGCATGTACATTAAATCAGTTTCTTGAACTTGAATGTGTGTATGAATCACATGGGATTTTACTTAAATACAGATTCTGATGCAGTAGGTCTTCTTAGAACCTGAGATTCTGCATTTCTAACAAGCTCCCAGGCGATGCTGGTCACACTGGCCCAGTAACAAGGCTTCGAATAACTGATGGCTTGTAGGTGATGGATCAGTTTCATAAACGGGCCAACTGAGGCACATTCTTTTATCAGTGTGATCGTCAGAGGTGGGGATCCAGCCTGGGAGTATTGGGTTTCAGCACTGTGTTCTTCAGGCTAGTGGTTCTCAGCCAGCTGTCTGTTAGACTCATGGGAGGAGGAGCTTTTAGAACATACCAGAGGGGGCCCTACCCCAGACCACTGAATTAGACTTTCCAGGCCTGGGCATCCTCGTTTAAAGGACTCTCCAGGTGATTCTACAGTGCAGCAGGTTGAGCACCACTGTTAAGAAGATACTCCAGAGATGCCCTGACTAGACCACCATTGTCATTTATGAACCAGCTAGCCCTGCCTGTTTGAACTTGAATGTGTGTATGAATCACATGGGATTTATACACCCCATTAAGTGAGTCAAGAAATACGTACTAAGTACTGAACTCTGCTGAGCAGTGCGGATGGAGGACTCGGAGCCTGAGCTGTTGGGACAACACCAAGGCAGAGGCGTCCGCAGCTAAGACGGTCCCTTCTCCTTGCCCAGCCTCAGTCTGCCCTCTGCGCAGTGAGGAAACCGGTCTGGGCCATCCCAAGGGTGCTTTCTCATGCTCCTCACCATTGTTCTGAGGTTCCGCCCAGAGGACCCACACTGACCCCAGTGAGCCAGGCGGGAGGCCAGAGCTGACTCTCCTCTCCCTCTGACCCCGTTTCTCTGTCCTCAGCTCCTCTCCCCACGTTCCTTTCCTTTTTCTTGGCCTCGAATATTTGTTGGAGCAGCTGTCACATGTTTTAGGAAAAGGGCCTCGCTCTCAAATCATACTGCCAGGCTGTACCTAAGGCCAGGCCACCCTGTAAAGCTTTGCCTCCCAGCCTGCCTCACCCCACCCCTTACCAGCCGGCTCCCAGCTTCTTCATGTTTGCAGAGTCCCACACCCACTCGAGTATGTGGATTGATTATTTCTGACTTCCAGGAGCATGTGGGCGCCCAGGGCCCCTGGGTTACAGAAGTCACCAAAACTCTGCCTTGATCCTCACCAGGGAATTGTGGTACAGTAACGGGGAGGGGGACGCCAGTTTCACAGCGAGGTGAAGAATGAGCATGCCTCTTTTTATGGGACCTTTGGAATGACAGGAATTGGAGGCCTGAGCCCCCTCCGCCCAGCACTGCCCCATCACCACCCCAGGCCTTCCACTCGGGCTCAGGGAGTGCTCCTTTGGTTGGGTAGTACAAGTTCAAGCCCTCCTCTGTTGAAATGTGTGTGCCCTGTTTAGCCAGGAGGTGTCTGCATCTGAGCTATGCAGAGCAAAGTATTA